CTTATATCTTTGAACGGCGTTGAGAATACTAATTCATTCTTCTGAAACTGTTTATTTCCAAAAGCGATCCATTTCAAACTAGAACTAAGTCTTTAGCTGTCATCATCACCACCACAGGGGTGTCACGTGAAAATATCGCGTCTCTGATTGGCTGCGGCCGTTTCAACCGTCTTCGAATTGCTCCGAGTTGCTCGCTTGTTCGAGCCGGACCCAATCTCAGCAATTCGCTTCGATCTAGGGAAAGCTAGGGAACAATCCGCCAGCAACCTCAAAATTGCTGGAAAAGTTGCCCTGTCTGAAGCGGGCCTAAGCTACTTAGATTTCACAAAAACCAAAGCTTTGACAGTCTAAAGAAATCTTAAGAAAATTCAACCGCGTATCATAATCCCATGGCAACGATTCCAGGGTCCGATACGGAAACTGAAAATGTTTTTTGACCCGACCCCTCATAAATTACCTATGCATCATAGACAGTTGAATAACTCCTTATCTGTATCAAAAGATAAAATCTTGTCAGCAAGAAAGAAACCAAGGTTGTCTTTCTTGTGGCCGAGCTTTCTTCGCCAACGTAAATGCCACAGGCGCCCACAGTGCCATTTCTTGGTTTGTCGAATGTTAGGCCTATGTGGACCTCGGCTCGTTGAGGGGTATAGTTTTTCTGTTCTATATATTAATGCAGGTAATGTCATGCTCCAAAACATTCACATTCTGTCGCCACTGCTGCAGCATCACATTCACGTGGAGTTCCAACTTCCTGCGATGCATAGTTTATTGATGGGGACTGGCAGAATGGGGCTTTATTTTCTCTTCATTTGTATACCATTTCTCATCGCGGCATTTTATGCCCATAAAACATTCTAAAACCAAATTCACGAAATGTTCTGGCTCGCTTGCGGCCCTCTGCGGGTCTCAATTTGAGAGGTTGGGAATAAGAAGAAATAATGTACAATCTGTACGCCCCACCGAAGACCCTGTTTGAATTTTGTTTCTAGAAACTTTTCTTGCGTCTGTACATGTTAGGAACACTGGAGAGGTGGCGTTGCGTGGTTTGAGAGGCTCAACTGTATCCGCCTGTATATCCAACCGTCTACTCGCTCTTTAGCACCGGGCTCGTTGGATTTACCTGCGTCGGCCCACGCCGGTGCAGAAAAATATGGCGTGGCGCATAATTTCCGAATTGTTTTCAGATGGGCTGCACCCGTCGATCGAATACGGCAGTGTGCACCGATTAGAGCTCTTACGGGAAAAGGGAACAAACCTACCGTTGCCGCCGCAAAGTGCTTACCCCAACCCTGGTGGGCTCGAGACGACGAAAGTGCTGTTTGGACGGCGCCGTAACTGGCCCTCCACCCTTGCTCCCCGGTCGTACGACGGCTACACCACAGTTTATCATACACAGTTTGCCCACTGTAAACTAGGCCTGTGGTAATCAGGAAGCATGGTGTTGACAGCATTATTGCAGGCAGCGCTCCTCACCACATATCGTGCACTAAACCACTTTTTATGCTTCAGTTTTGTTGTTTTGCTTTCAAAGATGGCAGCCCCCATGGTATTTTGGTTCTCTTATTCCTCGCGTTGCATATTGCTTGAATTTGAAGCGCCCGTCACAGGACAGCATTTCCGGGCGATCACATTCAGACAAGAAATATTTTTTTCACGTAGGGGGGACTGTTTATTGGAACTCTGCATGGTACTATACATAGTTTGATCAAATAGAGTCACAAACATGGCACATGATACAGCCATACAACGAAGGTTTGCACGGATGCCGGTCGATTTACAAACATGAAGCGGGGTTGACGACCCTTTTTTTTTTTGTTTCTTTTCGGTGTACTGGCATGTGACAACAGAAATATTGTGGATGGCAGCTTTTAGGGCACGTGTGAAACACAATGATCAAACACACGGCTTAGTGCAACAGATTTTGTCAGGTCACAAGGACATCAAGAGGCACGAAAAACAGAGCACATCAAAAAGTGAACAATACAAACTCAAAACTGCATGCACGCAGCATGATCTACATTAATTAAGAAATTCTACAGAATTGAAAGCATCTGACTGTTTCCGTGTCATAAGTTCTCTTGCTTAGATAAAAGCTCAGGCTTTTTAGAGTGCTCCGAGCCCTTTTACTGATCAAGGGCATGGCGCGCATTGTACGAGGTTTCTTAAATGATACATTTCTTTCTCTCTCAGTTTTGTGTGGACTAATACCATGAACCGAACATGCGAGAGAGTTTAAGCAGCTACATCCCTGTTTTTTTTAGCTGATGTGAACACTTAATTCTTCTCGAACACCGATTGACAAGGAGACATAGTGCCTTTTGAAACGCAGCAGTTCACCAATTTTTTTTTTTTTTAATACAATTTGAATTAGGGTTTGTACCTACCAGAACAATCACACATGTTTGCACCAGTTGGGTGCCTTTATTTTAAGAGCACTACAGAACACATTAAAACGAACGCGATCAGTAAATACTAAATCGAAACATGCGACACGGGAGTACGCTCAGTGATTTCTTCAGTTTCGTTTGGGCTGCATTAGTTCCGAGCCCCTCTCTGCTTGTGCAAAGCCGCAGCTACTTTGTTGTTCATGGATCCGAATAGAAAGACGATTCGGGCACTAGCTTCATCGATGCAAGGAGGGAAGTCAGCACCTCACAAAACCTAAAGGGATACTACAACGAAATTTCGGCGCTCATTTTTTGGTCTATATGTGTTCAAAGGAGCAGTATCACATCGAACACACCAATATCTTGTTAAAAAAAGTCACGAAAAGGAATTTTTAAACGATTAGCAAAGAGCACCTGCTGGATGTCGCTAACGCCTCGCTTGTAATGCCCGTCTAGGAACCTTGACAGCTAGTGATGGAGGTTGTCTCGCCTCCGGCCACGACAAGAGAAGAGGGGAAAGAGGAACTCCCCTCTTCCCGAGAATGCCTTTTGTGTTTTGCAGAAGTCGCTGTTGTCCCCCTACAAGATTACAGATGATTAACCCGTCCCTCAAAATTCGTACAAAAGCAGCCGCTTCGGTGGCTGGAACGACTAGGCCATCCTCTCGACGTCAGCCTCACCGTAGCTTTGCTCGTCCTGAGACGACCTACGTCACGATTGCGTTGGATGTCACGTGGTCTCCGCTGGGCCTTCTCCGAGCGCTTGCCAGAGTGGGCCGTTTATAACGAAAAATACAGCCACCAGGCTCAAAATACAAACGTGCAATTGTCATTTACGGATATCGTGGATCATATTCAACCTATTTGTGAACACGACGGGAATACTTCAAATTTCGTTCAAGTATCCCTTTAATATACACACGTTTATAATTCAACGCTACTTTGTTTAAATTTATTGCACATGAGTCTGTGTAACGGCGACTTCCTCAGCGATATTTGACGCGGAAAGGAAGACGTTCGAAGAAGCGAAGTATAATATATAACACAATGCTATTTGCAATAACAAAAATTAGAATAGACAACTTACCAGCTTCTCAGTGGGTGCTTTATTATCAGCTTCGAATGCTTCAAATTTAAACGCCAAAAACGCGAGTGTACTCCCCAATCTCCGCAGCAGCTGGGCGCCTCGTCTCCTCTCATTGGTCGTAACCCTGGGTAACGGTGTAACGCTTTTATGTCAAGCATTCTTCTATTCCTCCCGAAAATAAGCGGGTCTCTTATATTTTTTAAAGTTAGTATTACTGGTGCAATGACTGTTTTATAGTGATTACTTTTACACGGCGTTCTGTAACGAGAAATCAGAAACATAAAAAGTGTTTAGTTCGCGATATATGGTGAGGGGCGTTTCCTAACGGCCAATTACCGGGAGGTGCCTCGAGTGGGACCACTGTATGCTCATTCAGTGTGGGCTGCACGATGCTCTCCATTGGTCGGGGGGATTCCCTCTCCCGTGGGCATGCGCAGCCTTCCTTTGGCTGCTCAAGGCCTCCCTTGCGCCGGTGACTATGGCCATGGAAAGAGACAAACTTAAGGGAGCAAGTTTTAGGCGTCGCAGATTCGATTGCCAGACAAACAGGATATCGTTCGAGAATTGACCAAAGTGTTGGGACTTGAACGCTTACTCTTCGAAATAAATTGAGAACGATCGAGCTGGCAAAATTTTGACGTGACAAAAAATGCCGATTGAGAAACGGACGACGTGCGCGCCGTTCTCGAGACCTTCGAGTGCGTCGTCCATTTTCTCCATTCCTCCGGTTTTTGCAATATCTACGCTGGCCGGCCGTTGTTGCCCGCCCCAACATCGGTGTGCGTAGAACGATTCGGTTGGGAGACTATCCCGGGAGCCCACTCTGGGGAACCGCTTCGTTCCTTGGCACCGAGCTCGGGGAGATTGTAGCGCCGTCGTTTCTGTCGCGGCAGCCGCTCCAACTACCTGCGGGAACGGAGAAGAGCGAAGAAGAAAAAGGAAAATCTCGCTCGCATCTGGAACAATGTCCCTCGTTGATGTTGCGGTTGTTGTCGTTGTCTATGTTGTAGTTGGTGCAGTAAGGCGTAAGGTCTTGGTTGTCGATGTTGCTAAATCCTCGAAAATATCGCCGCCTCCTGCAGGAATTCAAGCTGGCTGGCTGCTTGCAAAGCAAAGGCATTACCGTGGAGCTATGCCACGGTGTACTTAGGGTTTTTATTGTGCCCAGTGCACGCACTTTCTGGAAAAGGAAGAAAAGCCGATAACAAAATGCCGTTGTAGCGCTATCAATGCTAGGAGCTCGTGCCGGGAGACGCGTTTTGGAACAAAAGAGAAAGAAAAGCATTGGGAACAAAATGGTCAGATGTGTACTTTGTTCCAAACACTTTTGTTCACGCACCCCATGGTGCGTGAACATGACGCCGTTGCCCTGCGCCTTTGCCGTGAGGTGTCGCAGCCGACGCTGTTACTGCCTTGTAGATTAGAGCAGGGCTGCTCAATTGTTTCTCAAAACGCAGCTAAGCAATGAGCTGGGAGGGAGGGGAGGTGCGCCCCAGAGGCCCCTGACGTCCGGTTTCCCCGCAGGCGAAGCAGCGGGCCTCGGTGCTGTGGCTGGTGTCGAAGGCGCACAACAACCGGGTGCCCCCCGAGCTGCGGGACCCGTTCTACCGGGACCACGAGGACCAGGAGCGGCTGAAGCCCCAGATCGGCCAGGGGCTGGCCAGTGCGGAGCTGTACTGCCTGGCCCTGGCCAACATCTATGCGGACCCCAACTACCACAGCCTGAGCCACCAGGGGGTGGTGGGGGCCCTGCAGCGCAAGGGGGTCGACCTCGAGCCCCCCGAGGACCGCACCCCGCTCACCGAGACGGTGCTGGCCCAGACGGCGCCCCTGCGCATGAGCGCCCACATGGCCGTCATCGGGGGCATCATGGACCTCTACGTCAAGGAGGTGCTCATCCCCATCAAGGTCTTCGAGGTCGTCAGGTGGGCCTTCTCGGTCGGACCTCCCGGCTTCCCGCGTCCACCGACCGGGGGCTTCCGATCGTTCGCGAGTTGACGCAGAAACGGCGAGACGGTTATCGCGGTCTCACCCGAGCGTTCCTTCGTCCGCCGGTCGGCTCGTGTACGGGTTGCCGATCGCATCCAGCGCGAAATGGTGGACGGTCACAATGGACCTTTTTCGAGTAACGAGCGCCGTCTGGGGAGTTGTCTGTGAACTACAATAGAAGAGCAGCCCAACATGCCTCCGCCCGTCAAAACACATTGGCATCGTGCGGTTGTATCGGTTTTCGGTGCTTTTTATACCCCATACTACCGATTACTAAAAAACAAAGCGTCAAAATAGACTAAATACGCGCGCAGATAGATGGTGACAATATTGCTGTTGCCATTTTCGCAGGGCACCGCGTCCCGGTGTCTCGCGAAAATGGCGACAGGCGCAGTATACGCATGCGCAGAAGCGTACTGGAAAAAGGTCCATCGCCGGTGCTTGGTTCGTAGCGGCCAATGGACTTTTTTTTCTTTCTGCGGAAGCATCGAGACCCGGACCAGCTGGTAGCGATTGATAGTTAGGACACAAACAAGGACAACGACGACGGACAAGTGCTCGTCTCTTGTACTCATCTTTCTTGCGTTTGAGTTTCTTGTGCGCTCTTTTTCTTGTAGTTCGTTAGTAAACAACGTACAGTGTGTACGTTTCGTATCGTAGGAGTCCCGTCCTCTCTAGTTAGCGGAAGGACCGCCTGCGAACGATATCTTGGCTCGTGCCCTACGAGGCAAATTAGATCTCGTTCTTGCAGTGACCAAGTCAGACCTCTGGTCAGGAATATTTTTGTCACGCTAGGGGAAAGTGTTTCCTAGGGACAAATTGAAGCGCCAGAGCGACGCCACCAACTTTGACAGTCGGCCAACCAGGTTGCTCGGAGAACCCGACGGACGAACGTGAGTTCGAGTGGCGTAGCCAGGAATTGTTTTTTTTTTTGGGGGGGGGGGGGGGTCTTGTTTCATCTTTCTGTGTAGTAGTTGATGTACTGAACAATTCACGGGTGCGGACACGGCTGTCCCCAACCCCCCGGCTGGCTGGAACAGTTCGGTAGTTGTCAAAGGATGGTCTTCCCTTAGACCATCCTCCTGCCTCTGCCACTGGGGGTTTGGACGAGCCAGTGCGCAGAAAGTTGGCGCTTGCATCTGCTCATTCGGGAAAACCCAGGAAGTCGTCGAGAAGATGAAAATTCAGAAATGCCACCTCTACTTGCGATTCAGGGCTCATATCATTTTTGGAATGAAAATGCCCTTGAAGGGTTCTGGATATCCTTGAAAAAAGAATGTTTTCAATATCCTTTTTTTTTTTTCCGCTTTTACCTGGATGCACTAATCCGAGTTTTCTAGGTCGGAAAGCAACCGAGTTTCCTGACCAGGAAGCGGTAGTATACATCCGAGGACCGTGCTGACGCCAACGACCCTCCGAGGTCTTTGCAGCGACGGTGTGCAGTAGGAAGTTTTGCTCGGGCTGTGGGTAAACACGTTTTGCCCGGCCTGGCTGTCGTCGGGGAAACTGCGGACGAGATTTCGCATTTCCTTGGAACTTAAATATTTGATGCCGTTGGAAATTCCTGTATCTGACGCCGACTGTATACTCGTCATCTCGAGAAAAAAGCTAATTTTGCGCTTTGTTTATGAGTAGTTCTTGCGAGATTTGGTTGTCAGGGGAAGAAGCAACGTTTTTGGTGTTCGAAATGTCTAATCTAAAATGCATATATCTTAATTCTCCGCATAAAGGAGGAAATTAGCTTGCAAAGAGCTGGAGTTTTTTTGCTACAGTTCTCAAGGTGAGAGCAAGCATAGATCTTAGGTTAACTAAACCTCCGGTCTCCGGAAACATGTCCCAAATTCCGATGTGTCTGTTAGGGGGGTGGTCGTCTTCACCACACGTGCTGAGGGCTCGCCGGACTCTGGACGGCGCGATAACTGTCTCTATCGGTCCTAGTTCACTACACCTCGTTAATTAGCTTTCGAGTTACGCGTAGTACATTTTATAAATTGGGCAAAAAAACCGAGCAATGGAGTCTAGGACCCCAGTTGCACATTCGGGCGCGCAGTTAGCGTCTTTGACCGGCGCATTTACCGTCGAAATGGGTCTTAAAGTGGCAGTTGGTAGTGTGGTGGGGGTGGTGGGCTGCCCGGCAGAGCCGGCCTGAGGCCCCGTTCCCGGCAGGCGCTTTGCGGCGGTGGGCTACCCGGAGGAGGTGCCCGTGGACGCGGAGGACGCTGCCCTGCTGTGGCTCAACAAGTGCTCGGTGAAGATGCGGCACCGCATCGAAGACCAGCTGGGCACCTGCCGCTCGGAGGACGGCAGGCACCAGGTGAGCCAGCCGCTCCTAATCCCTCTTGCCATTGATCCGCAACTTTATTCGGAGAAATGCTTTTCCGTCTTCCGTCGCTGGTTGCACTCGCTCTGCTCTGGGCCACGAAATGGCGGTGTCCGCGAAATGATCGGAGAACGGAACGACGACGCTTGGAAGGAGTGGGGTTCGTCTAGTGGCTCTAGGCCCTCCCGGGCTGTTCCCATTTCCCGGGGACCGGTTGCGGGACCTGGTCCGAGCAGATGAGCACCAGGCTGCCCTCTGCACCGGAAGCCGTTGGGAGTGGACATGGAGCGTCTAGATGGTGTGAGATCTGTCAATCCTTCCACGGCCCCTCGATCCCTTCCTGCGAGCAAAAGAGTGTTTCTGAGGGGGAGAACTTGTTCCGTCTGCCGTGACGGATAGGGGGGGGGGGGCATATGAGGGAAACTGCAAAAGCCAAAGCTGCGGCGAAAGCATCGAATGCGGCCAAAGTTCGGGTGTTTTTGCTGCTCTGTTATCTGCGCCCGCGCGAGTGACCGATTTCTTTGTCGTTTTATAGAGTAATTTTACAGGCTGTTGAGGTTCCGCGAGAATTACGAAACACTCTATGCCTCAAAATTGTAGCGTGCCATGTTGCAAATCGAGCGTGACAACAAACTCAGATCGCCGATACCACGAGGTGCAATCTGAGGAAACACGTCAGGGTGCCTGGCTGCTAAACATTTTGCGGCGAGGCGCCGACGAAAGGAGCCGGTTGCGGACAAGATCTACCGAAAAATAACGTGCAAGCGCCCACTCAAAATTTTGAGATAATCGTGACAAAATGGGTGTCCGGTCATCAATTTTACATATCAGTGCACTGTGCATATATTCTCAGATCTTACAAATTTGGGTATGGGCGCTTAGTGTGGTATGGGCGGATGCGCAATATTCTACGGTAGTGCCGTTGTGTGCCCACAATCGACGACTCGGTCAACATTGACAACGAGCGTGATACGTTATGCAGATTACGGAGCCATATTCTTTTTCGGGATAACACTTCTGAAATTATAATGACGGCCAATATATTTGTAGCAAAAATGTAACGGTGTGGTTGGGTTTGAATTTGTTAGTAATTAATTTTCGACGGAGATAAAACGAAAGCCTCGTATTCGGGTCAAAGGAAATGATCCATTACAACCAGGCTCTCTCACTCTACTCTGGTGCCGCTTAGAAGTACCCCGTCAAATGTCTCCGTGGAATTCTTGGCAAATGCGAGGGGTGAGGCAAAGCAGTCCACGCGGTAGATAGAATGCAATTAAAGATTGTAAGTACAATTTTCGAGCATAAAAATACATTACCCTCGTGTGTGCTCTGTCTTATTTATGACTCTTTGTATTGTGCTCGCTTTAATTACCGTTTCTTGGTAGAGAGAAACAGCGCTGTTTCACAAATTCATCTCGTCTATGTATCGCAGAAAAAAGAAATTTGTCTCGTTATGCAATCGGAGGTATGACGACCACGCCGCCCCGTTATTTAAAAAAATAGATCTCTTTCAAATAACAAACTTCTACGATGATTAATAAGTTTGGTCGAGCGAACAAAGATATACTTTGCACAATTCAGATAGCAATTTGCTTCCACTTCCTTCCCTGCAGTTAAAAAGGAACTTTGAACGCCATTCTCTATCTTGAAGTCTGGACGTTTCCACGCTCGAGGACAAACTATAGTATTCGGAGGCCATATTCACAAAGAGCTTCTTGAAGTAAAGCACAAGGAGGGTGGAAACCTGAAGGTTTTATTCTGGAAGAGCGGCGCTTCTCGACCGCCGACGCCGGTCAGAATCTGGTCACGAGCCTCGGCGCAAGGCATGCGCTTCTCGGCTTGTCAGTCTCACGCCCGGAGCGCGTGGATGTCCGAGTACACAACACTTCTTGGATTACGGCAACTTAGCTACAAAATTTGAAAGTTAGCCACATCGTAAGGAGTGGAGAAATCAGTGTCCACAAACACTTTCTTAAAGAGGCACTGACACCCCAAGAGTTTTTTTTTTTTATTGTCTAAAACGATGCACGTTGTAGTCATACATGCAAAAAAACAAAAGCATCACAAAAAAAAATACATTTTACGCACGCGCCTGTTTTTTTCTTTTTTGTTTTTGGCGCCCTCCTCTCTCGCTTTTCGCCTCCTCACTTCTTGTGATTCGTGACGTCAAGAATCACGAAATTTAGAAGCTTTGTAGGCTACATTTCTATAACATTTAATAACGGCACTCATAAAACATGTTTTTTAAGGCAATTGCGAACGCACTACGGCCCTTCTTTTTGAAATACCAAAAATCGGGAGTTTGTTGTGGCGCCGTCTCCTGGATTTGTATCCTCCGACGGAAAACAGGCGACACCACTCCAAACCGGTCCACCGGCGCTCGCTCCTTCCCTCCTCGCTCTCGGTCGCAATGGCAACAGCAGGGAGTCGTGAAAGAAAGTGGACTCTCAGGACTCCGCAATATTTGACGTCAACGCACCGGCACGGATCGCGTGGGGATTTTGAATTCGGCATTTGGAAATTGTTTTTTTACTTCACAAATACTGAATTCCCAAATTTCAAAATTTGAGGGTAATGTCCCGGCATTGTTTTCAATCGTTTCGGATAATAAAAAAAAATGATTTTGATGTGTCAGTGCTTCTTTAATTTAGACGAGGAAAGTGACATCTAGGTTTGTTTTAAATGTAGGAGCGCATCGGCAGTTGCACTCCTACATGCAAGAATGGTCCTCCAGCCCATCCTTGCCAGTCGTGCCTCCTACGAGCAGCCGTATTTTGGCAAAGCCTGCCCGACTCCCTGACTGCTCCGATTCCCGCCAGCCGAGAGGACATTCGCTAACTACAGCATAATGTAGCGTGTGCTAGTATTTAAGCTCGTTTAACTTGACTTCTTGCATAAAATGATCGTTCTAGTCATTCCCCTTTCATTTTTAAGTTTAATTTTAGGCCTAGGATAGGTCCGTTCGGTGGCACACCAGATGCTTGGGCCTTGCCACCGAATGAGCACTCCTGTCGTGTTCCCAGTGCGCGATGAAGTATGATGCCGACACGGTGGTCTTGGGAGCCGCCATTTCCTAGTTGTGCTCGACTTGAGCCAACTTCTCGTGCGTCACGACCCACCTTGGACGAGCACAAAAACTCTCTTTGTACGTGCGATTTCCGAAAAATAGCACTCTCTAAAATAGTGCGAGCAAAGCGCAGTTAGCGTTCGGCGCATCTGCAGTTGCGACGACACTATTCTTAGCGTGCACTATTCAAACACTCCCTAATGACCCCGTGAGGTTAAACAAATAATAAGCGCAATAATTTTTTTCTTTCCGTCGCACGGTCTAGTTGTTTTTGCTAAGTGTCGTTTGCTCCATACCAAAAATGCGTTTCATCGTTAACTCATTCTTGTCATAAACGTGAGAATACTTGAGCGTGATAGTTGGTAATATATGCAAACTTTGCCGTAAGTGATGTACAGGGCGAATACATGTGCCGGCAACAAAGGGCGAGCCGGCTACACCATCATTGGAAGAAAAAGTTGTTTATTTTATTTGTCTTCATCGCGATGGAAGTCTTTGGTTTCGTGGTATTCATTTATCATTTTGTCAATTTCTTTTTTTATATGTATCGAAACCCTCGAGCTTGTGGTTTTTTTTTTTAATTCATCAGTCCGGCTTGTTCTTGAGCAGAGGTATTATCTTGAAGTTGCAATTTTTTTCTTCGGCACTTTTGTCAGTCCTGCGTGTTTTTGTTAGCCTGAGTAACGGAGCTAACGTCTCTGAGAAAATGCTTATTTATTAGAGAAGAAGACTAATGGAATTGATTTACGTTTGCTAAACAGTGACTCTGAACATTCGCAGTTTCTACCGATAGAATGTGTAGTCACCAAAGATTGCCCTTTATTCCAGACCATACTATATTATCTCGGAATGGTTCTGTTTTTTGGAGACAAATGTAATTTGCAGTTTGGTTCGATAAACCCATTGTTTCGTTCTCTTTAGGCCAAAGTTGCGATTCTTTGTTGGCCATAAAACGAGACCCTCTTTTGTGGCTCCGGAGCTGCTCCAAAGGAGAACTTTTCCTGCTCCAAAGCGGACCTAGTGCCGCTCCTAACCTGCTTCATAGCGGACTTTTTGCTCCTCTATGCTGGTCTAAAGATTTTTTCTGCTCCCAGACCCGCTACAAGAGGCTCGTTTCCACCCTCGACGAGCATTGGGCCCGCTTGTGGTCCTGTAAGGGAGAGCTGTACTGATCATTTGCGGCGTAATTCCGATCTCTCGCTGTCTGAACATTCAATTTCACATTTCTATGGGGTTTTCTACGCATAAATTATATCGAAAACAAGTTTTCTTTTTTTTATTGCAGTTTTTTATGGTAGATAATGCAACCACAGTCTGTCTCGAAATTTTCTTAACGTTTCTCTCTAGGTGCAATGATTGACACGATTGATTCAAAATTTCTTTTGTGCGTAACATTTACGCATTAACGTTGCACCTCCATAGCCACTCGAGCAAGATGCGTCGCTTGCGGGGACATTGTCGCCGCGTCAAAACCTGGAAAAATGCCACAACTGCCGAAATTTTGGGACGGAAAGTAAATGCCTGCCTTAGAGACTTGTGCCGCACGGAAGGCCATCTCCCAGTCTCCTTCCGTCCCTTTCCTCCCGCACCCTTTCTTGGCACCCTCTCGAAAGGAGCGGGTCTCTGATTTGCTCTCTGCAAAACGGAGGAGCGTCTTCCCTTTCTGGCCGCTCCGAGAAACCCCCGAAAGGGAGAGCGGTGTCGACCTCCGGATAGATGGACAGTCAAACCCTCGATAGCCTCATTACGCGAGCCGACTGTCGTTGGGACGACGGCGGGTATCGGCCCCGACCGTGATTCGATTCGACTAAGCCGAGATGGGACGCTATTTGGATCTCGGTCGAGACCGAAACACAACCAAATTTGGTGTCGCGCAGTCTCTCTAAATGGGGAAGGAACTTTTATTGTCGACGAGCCTTTGAAGCGAAACATGATACGGCTTTCTTTTTTCGGAGCAAATAAAGGAAAGCCTGGAGCGCAGATGGGGAGACGACCCTGGTAGGAAGTTTGCCGAGTAGTGGCGTCCCAACGGGGGCTGAGGCCGGTCCGGGGGCAGGGGCGCCCCCTGGTGCCGCACATCCCCGTGGTGCAGGACCTGGGGGAGCTGAGTGACGGCTGTGCCCTGGCCTCCCTGCTGAGCTTCTACTGCCCGTCCTTCCTGCCCTGGGAGGACCTGTGCCTGAACGAGCCCATGAGCCTGGCCGACTCGCTGTACAACCTGCAGCTGGCCCAGCGCTTCTGCGACCAGCACCTGCCCCACGACGTGTGCTTCCTGTCGGTGGAGGACGTGCTCTTTGTGCACCCCTCGGTGCGCCAGAACCTGCTGGCCCTGCTGGCCGACCTCATGTACCTCTTTGAGATCCGGCCGGCCAAGTGCGTGCGCCGCCCGGGGCTCCGCCACGACCAGGAGACCCCCAGCCCCCAGCACTGCCTCCAGGGTATGGGCCTCTCTGGAATAGAGCAAAGTTTCCATTCTTTTTGCTGTACGTCCCCACCAAATGCGATTTTACAATGCCATCTCTAGCTATCTAAAAAAAACTGCAAATTTTGAGTCTCCAGGATTTAAAGTAGCCACAGGAGAGGGATTTTCTTAGCTTTCCCTCTTTTGTCAAGTGCCGTTGCCCTACGGAGGTTTTGAAGAGGTTCTACCGAATGGATCTGAGAAAGCTTGCTGTCGTTTGGAAGTAGACAGAGGCCAAGCGCGCTCGCAACTGAAGGTTTATTGGAAACAACATACTTCACCTCGAGAACCGTAATACACGAGTTTAGCTCCTCGAATTACGAATTTGCCCCTTTATGCGGAGATATGTAGGTGCATTTTAGATTAGGCACGTGTTACCTTATCGAGACGTTTTGAAAAGCATGGCTTCTTTCTCCGAGAACCACATCTTGTAAGAGCCACCTGAACAATGCGGAGAACTTGATTTTTTCTTCGGGTGAAAAGGGGTGCGGTGCCTGGCTGCTCAAAAGAAAACCTCCTCATCTGTGAGGGCACTGATACATGGGCTCTCCCCTTGCTGTCTCGCTTAAAATGCCCGTTATATTTGCGCAACTCCCGAGAATCGTTGTTCTTTCCCATTTGGAGCTGCTTGGGCACTTACCGCAGTGCCCTGCCCGACGGGGACTGCTTTCTTCACCGAGCATATTCTCTTTCCCTCTTGGTTATGCATCTTTCCGTTGGCCCCTCCTTTAATTTTCCCCGTAGGAATGTTGTCCACCCCTGCCACTGCGGAACCTACAAACTGCTGTGGCATACTTTGCCCTCTTTCCCTTATTTGTTTGGAATGTGGATGAGAACGCTTATTTGGTGCAGGAAACACCAGCTCGGGAGTGTGCAGCCATTGCTTCCTAGATTGTGAAGGGATCACCACCAGTCTGGTTTTGTTTCTAGGAGGAGTCGTTTTTTCAGCTGAAAAAACGACTCCTCCCAGAATCTTTCCCCAGCTGGTTACGCCCATACCAACGCGCTGAGAGCAGGCAATGAAAGGGAGCGGTTCAAGGGTGGGCTGAACAGAGTAGAAGCAAAAGCTGAACAAAACCTAGCACGCCGACATCTGCTTGCCCCATTAGGTTCCTCACGTGGTTCTTTCATTTTGACAGGAAGCATTTTACGTACGAGGGAACGTCGATGACAACTTTTTTTCTGAACAATAACTTTTTTTTTTCTGTCCAAAGTTTCTTATTTTAAATATCCGGCTGTTTTTCTTTACCTCTTTTTTTTTGTATTAAAGAACTATTTATGGTTCTTTCCTGTTTCAACAACCACGTCAAATACCGAGACTGGGTAATTTTTGCAAAAAACTAATTTTAACAAATTTCGCGATTTAAAAATATGAAGAAAAACACATTGCTCCGTTGTAACCAGTACGTACCGCCGCTACACGTCGTCGCAATTCGAGACGTAAATTGAAGTGTCGTGCCGAAGGCTTACGGGGCAGGACGTCACCGACAGTCGCGATGCTTGGGAGCCACACGACCTGCCACGGAGACCAACGGGATTGCCCGTGGGCCGTTGGTCTGTCCCAAATTTGGTCGTTCACTCGCGCACGAAAAACACGGTCACCCAAGAGCGGCGAGCTTACCTTCCCGTGCGGTTCCCAAGTGCTAATTAGCGGCCCAGGTTCTGGGAAGCCTGCAAATGGCAGGCAGTAAAGATCACTGGATGAATGGAAGGAGCGTCCTGGGGTTGACCGGGGGGCGTGCTCACGGAACACTGGCGTGGGCGCAGTGGCCCGCCACAACGGGGAATCCCTGCGCAAGGCCCGGGCCCTGCAGAACTCGTGCAGCCACATCCCGGACCTGCTGTGTGCCACCGGCGAGCCCCACACGTGAGTCCGTCTGGCCCCGGGCTCTCCGGAGCCGCCTGGTCTTGCTCGCCCGTCTCTCGGGCTTTTTCGCCGGGAAGCGTCTAGCCGACGAGGCCTTGGTCGGCGCCTTTGGAAGCGAATGAAAAAAGTTTTGTTGCTCGGCCCTAAAAAGGCGTTTAGGGACCCCATTTAAGAACCACTGGTCTAGGGTCTAGGAAGGTGCTTCGATACATGGTATATCAGCTTCTCAATGTACATTTCTACAAAATTTAACCTTAAAAAAATGAAATGATGTTCCGCTTATCGTGGCTGAGGAACATACACGAAAGCGGTCCAACCGGTTTTCATTTTAGATCCCGCCGGAACTTTGGCCGTGCTTGGATTAGAATACCGGGGCAGCTCGCGATGTGAATGAATTTGGTGGGTTATGGGGACGCGACAGCGAGCGAGGGAGGAGCTCTGAAAGATGTGTTTGCTGACCCTTGTTGATCGTGGGTCGTATGCAGCGAGCAGCACAACGGTGCCTGGCCGGAACATCCCCAGGGAGGACCGAAGAATGACGGTGAGGGCCTCTCCAATACCTTGGACCACACACCGGCACAACCAACACTTGGCACGACGTGGCAGGAATGCCCCCGTCGTCCATCGGCCCAAGCAGTCCAGTTGCGTGCGTCTGTTAGCAGATGCCGGCCAGTTAGTGCTGCAATGCCGACTGCAAATTTTCTTTCACATTTCCCGTCTTTTCATCCGTGGGTCGTGGCAGTTTGGCAAGTTGACATCCCCACAATTAAATTTCCAGACTTGTAGCGCATTTCCAGCCGAGCGAACTTGCATATTCAGATTTGTGCAGTTTACATTGCCTAGGATATGTTCGATGCCCCGTTTAATTTGTCCCCCCCTCCCCGAGAAAAGAGCCCCAAACTTTCTTTTTGTCTCGTTTGTTTCTATATTGTTTGCACGTCGTAACCGAGGCACAAGGCTTACGTCGTTTGTACGTACAGGGAGCACGGAAAAAGGAACAAACGACCGTGCTTTATAGAGTGTGCGGTGGAGTCTCGTCGGGCAAACCTGTGCTCTGGCGAGGAGCTCTAAAAACAGGGAAGCGCTTTTGTCCAACGCTGGGGGTGTCCTTCCCGTCGTTGCAGGCGGCACGTCGAGGGGCCAGCGCTCCCTGCTGGCCAGGGACGAACGAGACTCGGACCCCCTGAGCTCCTCCCCCAAGTCCAGGTGAGGGGCCTTCGGCCGCGGGAACGTCCTGGTCCTGGCTCTCGGTCGTACAAATGTCGGGGAAAACGACCGGGTAACGCCGGCGTCTCGACACGTTGCTGCGGAAGCTCGCGTGTACCGTCGAGCTGAAAGCAAGCCGCAGGGGAACGAGCGTCTGCCGCACCCGCCTCCACTGCCGTGATGTGGCGGTTGTCGGGTGGAAATAGAGGGACCGCGTTCGAGGACGTGGTAATCGCGCCGGTCAAACTCCCTCCGGGCGCCGCACCCTCGACGAGGCTGGCGCCGCGGGACCGAGCCCCCCGAGGAGGCGTCGTCTCCAGTCGCCGCACTCCCGTCCCTGTCCATCTTGGACCTGTCATCGCGAGCTTGAGCGTGCCAGTACCACGTCCAGAGCCTTCTAATTGTTGCCGTTCGAAAGCGTGGCTTTGGTAACTCAAACGCTATCGTCGGGTTTGGGGGAAAGTTCCTCTTTCCTGTTTAGCAAACGCCGGAGAGGAGGCGACCTCCTCTTCAGCGTTTCCTTTGCTCGAGTGGCGAGGGGGGGGGGGGGGGGGGGGAGCTTCCCCCAAACTCGACCCGTTGCCAACTATATACCTTGGGGTCAAGTGCGTCCGCCGTCCCTCCAGCTTCCATCGCGATCCTGCTTTTCTCGTCGCGTAATGTGGGAGGCGACGAGGTCGACGCTCGAATGAGGGTGCCGAGGCCCTCTGTGCCCGTCGGGAACGGGGCTGGGGCGGTTGTTGAGACAAGAGTCCAGCCCGACCCACGATCGCGTTGAACAGCGCCAAAATGCGACTATGAAGCTCCCGCGCATCTGCCGTCGCCGAAGCGAGACCGGGAGGCGTGAAACGATACGTAGAGCCTCGAAAGAACTGTGGCTCGCCGCTCCGTGGAGGTGTCTTAAAACGTCTACGCCCGCAGGAGCCGGTCGGACGAGGAGGAGGAGCGTGCGGGGCGCCCCTCTCTGCGGCGACGGTCGAGCGTGGGCCCCGAACCGCTGCAGCCGGCCCGGCTGCGGGAGGCCAAGGAGCGCCAGAACCGGGAGCCCAAGCACACGGAGCGTGGAGAGGACGCCCCGTCTACGAAGGAGCGTCCGCCGGAGCTCCCTCCCCAGGAGCCGGGACTGCGCCGCAGCGCCTCTCGGTCGGAGCTGTCCTCGCGGGGCTCCCCGCTGCGCCGGAACCCCTCGGGCACGGACCTGTTCCGGCCCTCGCTGAGCCGGAGCGCCTCGCAGACGGACGTGCGGGGCAGCCCCCCCCGGCGCAAGACCCTGGAGAGCTACTACGACCAGCTGGGGGGGGCCGAGTCCCTGCAGCGCACGGCGGGCTACCCGCTGCGCAAGGAGTCCTCCCTGTCGCACGTGTACAACTTCTCCGGGGAGAAGGCGGCCCTGGAGATGAGCGACCCTTTTGAGACGGACATGTTCGCCCAGCAGCGGGAGAAGCGCACCACCAGCTTTGCCCAGCTGTCCCGGGCCAAGGAGGAGCCGGGCATCCACATTGTCTACTCCCGGGAGGCCCCCCGGGGAGCCCCCGAGCGGTCCGAGGAGGGGCCCCTGGCGGCCCGGCTGGGGGCGGTGCGCCTCAAGCTGGAGGAGCGCCGCTCCAAGATCGAGCGGGAGAAGCGGCGCCTGGAGGAGCGGGTCAAGCGGCAGCGCCAGCAGGCCGGCCAGGCGGCCTTTCTGCAGGCCGTGGGACGGGCCGAAGCCCGCCGGGCACCCTCGCCCCCGCGGGAGACCGCCCCGTTGGGCGACGCAGAGGCGGACGTGGACGCGGTGCGCCGCAAGTGGCTGGGCCGCAACGGCAGCGCCTCGGACGAGTCGTCGCCCCGCTCGGAGGAGCTGGACCTGGAAGGCTGCGTGTCCACCGTGGAGCGGCTGGATTCGAGCCTGACGGACCTGGAGGCCGACATTGGACGCATCGAGCGCCAGCAGCGTGCCATCCGGGACCTGGTGCACGGGGCGCCCCCGGCCCCGGCCCGCTTCTTCCTGCACGAGGCGCAGCCTGAAAGCCTGCCGCCCCCGGACCCCCGTGCCGGGGACGCGGCCCCGCCCCTGTCGCTGCCCCCCCAGCTTGCCCCGGCCTTCCAGTTCCAGCCGGCCAGGCGCCAGTGGGGGCAATTCCAGCCGGAGCAGCACTGGGGGCCCCCCGTGGTGGCCCTGGCGGAGCAGCCCCACTCCCGACCTCAGTGGGGGCCCTCCGTGGCCCCCTTTGGGGACTACCTGCTGTACCCAGCGGATTCCGGCACCTTCCAGGTGCGTTCCCCTCGGCCTTCCTCCGGGCAAACCTCTCTCAAAGATGATGGCGAGGCGCTCCCTGCGCTGGGCGGCGGCCTGCCGACCTCCCGGTTTCTCTAGCTTGATGTCTCGACACCCCAACGGACTTTCCCGCTCAAGTCGGTGTAACCGCCTGACGTTGGTGGCACGTTACGTTCTGGCATCGCATGACATTGCACTGTCGCGCGACATGAAGGGTGACGTCGCGACGTCCTGTCACGGTGCTGCGTGATGTCAGTGTCGCGCGATGCCACTGTGTCGCGTTACACCATTGTGCCACATGACGGGACAATTGTTTCTCGAAATTTACCGTGGAAATATCTCTGCTCCAATGGAAAGTATTGCTCGGTAAAGAACCGGTCGTCTGCTATTGCGCGTAATGAAGGAGGCACAAAATAGACGAGAGAAAGTCTGAGAAACGCGTGGGACGGGCGCATTACTCGATTGATCGAGAGGGGCATCACGCCGTTGCTCCTTCGGTCGGCATTACCCAAGTCCTGTCTGTTACAATATGCTAAACGGGGCACTCTAGTGCTTCTACAGTGGAGCTGTTAAGGGCTTGTTCCCCCAGAATCGTGTCCGCAGACAAACAAATGTCAACACAAAATTCCTGACAGCTACTGCCATCTATGAGCGACGGCAGCAACCTTTTTATCCTTTCCACTCTGGTTTTCACCGGAGTGAAAAGGCTTGAATTTCTCTAGGCGTCGTCCTAGAAGTTGCCCTCGAGGTCATTTTAGAACTTATTCTTGAGGTCGTCCTAGACGTCGTCCTCATGGTCGTCCTTGAAGTCATCCTTGGGGCCGTCCTAGGAGTCGTCCTAGACGTCCTCGAGGTCATCCTAGAAGTCACTGAGGTCGCCATAGACGTCGTCCTTGAGGTCGTCCTAGACTTCATCCCTCAGGTCGTCCTAGGCGTCGTCCTTGAGGTCATCCTAGAAGTTGTCCTTGAGGTTGTCCTAGACGTCATCCTTGCGGTCTTCCTAGAAGCCGTCCTAGATGTTGTCCTCGAGGTCGTCTTAGAAGTCGCCCTTGAGGTTGTTCTAGACTTCGTCCTCGAGGTCGTCCTCCAGGCATTGTCCTTCAGGTCATCCTAGACATGGTCCTAGACGTCAAAAAGATTAGAGCTTTGCTGGTCCGCCATCTTTACGTAAAGTTGAAGGGCTCTAAATTTTTTAGAAGCTTCTTTTTGGTAACATTAATAGACAAACTTGAAAAAATACAAAATAGAGCTGCTAGGTTTGTTCTGGGACGTTACGGGCGGAGAGAGAGCTGTACTCAAATGAAGCCTGAACTGAATTGGGAACCTCTCTCAGCCCGCCGTAAAAAATTGTGTTTAAAGTTTCTGTTTTTGATATTTAAAAATAAAACTGGAATTAACAGTGAAACTTACTTAAAAGAACCATATTACATTTCTAAACGGAACGATCATGCTTTCAAAATTAGAGTTCCGCGCCAGGACGAGCATGTACGCCAACTCTTTCTTTGTTAAAACGATACGAGAGTGGAATGGGCTGTCGGAGCTGCAAGTGTGCAGTGAAAGTGAAGGTGTGTTTTTTTCAGCATTGTAACCCCCCTGCTGTAACGCCCTCGGGCACTGCGGGGTAATCTCTGAATAAAGAAAAAAAACATATTGCATGTTGGGCTTTAGTCAATTAAGATGACCAGTTCTAGACGCAAGACGTCTTTGTAAACCCACAACAATTGAAATATGCGAGATCTGTTTTCTCTCAGGAGGGGGCCGTCCTCGGGTCCCCACCACCTCCATGAGATTTGACCAATGAAACTAGTTACAGCAGAACCCGGATTTATCGAACTCAAAGGGGATCGTAAAATAGTTCGATACACCGTATTTACTCAAATGCAACGCGACCACGATTGTAACGCGAGGGGTAACTTTTCACAGCGCGAAAAAAAAAGAAAAGAACACGAATGTAACGCGAGTAAAGTAAGGGGAAAAAAGTACCTTTATTTGTTGCACGTATAATGGCCAACACCTGCCGGTTTCTAAAAATAAAATGAGTTTGCTCGCTCGTCGTCGCTTTCGCCATCGGTGATCAAGTGTCCCCGTCGCTTTCATCGCCGTCGTCACCGGTGGTCGAGCCCTCTTTGCCGCTTTCTTCCTCCCGGATTGTCCTCCGTGCCATCCAGGTCATTCGATATAGAGCACTTCTTAAACGCGCGAACCACCATGTCGTGCGGGAGGTTGTACCACGCGGCGGACACCCACTCGGCAATCTTCGCGGCGCTTGGTCGCTTTATCCTACCCGAAGGCGTCAAAGCCCAATCTTCACGCATCCAGTCTCCGTACAGCTGCCGCATCCTATCCTTGAGAGGCTTATTCAGACAGACGTCTAACGGCTGCAACGCGGACGTCGTACCTCCAAGAATAACAGCGAGCTGCGTTTGAGTTTCCCCCATCATCTTCTTCACTTCAAGAGTCAGGTGACAGCGAAATGAGTCTAGAACCAGGATGGAGGCAGGGTGGAGGAGTGCAGCTGGCCGTCGGCACCACACTGTCTTGACCCAGTTGAGCACAAGCCGAGTGTCCATCCAACCTTCTTCTTGACAGTGGACAATCACATCCCTGGGAAACAGCTCCTTCGGGATGGTTTTGCGCCGGAAAATGATGTATGGCGGCAACTTGTGCCCATCCGCCAAGCAGACCAGCATCACGGTTAGCCGCGTCTTCTCGTTTCCTGTAGGCCTTATGCGAACTTGGGGGGCACCTGTTTCACTAGCAGTCCTTGACATGGGCATGTCCAAGAAAACGGGAGTCTGGTCCACGTTGCCAATGTGCCCCAACGGCATTTGCGACGAGCGGCACAGGTCGATCGCGTGGCGCTGAAACTAGTAGCTTTGCTTCGTAATCCGATGGTAGCTTCTGCCTTATCGGTGTTGTTCACCGGAGGGAGAATCCATTCCTTCGCGTGAACTTTTGCGCCCATCCACGCAATCCCTTGAAATTCTCCCGAGGTATCCCCATCTCTCGGGCTATGTCTCGGGCTTTCCATCGTATCAGCTCAACGCTGACCCCCAAGAGGCGGTTTCGCTGCTCAATTACTAACTTGGCCACTTTTTTTTTCAAGTTCTGCGTGACGGCCACAACGTGGTCCTCGGAAGCCTTTTCGGCCGGGTTCACATTTGAAAAGCGCTTCACGTTGGAGCCTCCACCCACGGATAGTTGATTCTGTCGCATCTAGCCGTCGAGCTGCGGCAGAGTTTCCGATTTCCTCGGCCATCCTAATTGCACTTCTTTTGAAGCGGGCGTCGTACTGAGCTCGTCGTGTCGCCATTTGCTCGATTCCAGTCGCAAAAGCACGTAGCAGCAGCTCACAAAACACGGTCTACACGGGCACGTGGGTACGGTAACCCTAACAGAACGGGAAAGCATTGTGAAGGTAACCCGTAACCCTCATATGGGCGCAACGAGTCGCAAACAAGAATAGGATTGGATTGCCTGTTTCCAGTGTGTATGTTGCCAGCACAAGATTGAAAGATCGCGACATTTGTCGTAGCCATTTTAAAGAGCCTGTGCTGCAAGACCGGCAAGGCAAATTTTGAGGCGTTTCGATTATAACGCAAACCCCCAAATTAGGTAAGGGAAATTTGGAAAAAAACTCGCGTTACATTCGAGTAAATACGGCATCGATAATTTGATATACAAAAAGATGTTATATTAAGCTCCGGTTGAAATTTCGGCGCGTCTCTGCTAATACCGAAGGCCGCGACAAACGGGACCTTACCAAATAGAGCCGCTAACTACACTAGAGCTTAGTCGGTGAAGATCACAAACACCGCCGCGTTTACGCGACATGCTATTGTTTACGCACGCCTGGCCTTCGCACAGCACCGGGGACAAAACACTAATTTAAAAAAAAAAATGAAAGAACGGAAAAAGCGAGCTGCATAAAAACAAACAAAAAAACACTCGATCCATAAAATAAAGTTAAACAAGCAACAAAAAAAGAAACCTCACTAAATTCAAACAGCAAAAAAAGAAAAGCAAAAAAAAAAAAACGCGCAAAGCAAAAACTGTGAAAGGAAAAGGTAAACACAGGTAAGGCATTCAAAGTGCTCAACCGTTGTTGTAGATAGAGCACTATATAGCTCCTACAGAGCAGAGTAGCGCAATCCTTTGAACCCCGTGTTTTGCCGACAACATGGCCGACAGAGCGGCTCGGCGCGAGTCACGTGGTACTCAGGGTTCCAGGAGGCGGCCCGCCCTATGGGAGAATACATGGAGATCGACACAACACGGCTGATTAAAAAATGAACGGCGAGTTCACACTTTTCAGAACTAGTCTGTCGTGAAGTTAGTAAAGCACTAAACACTTTTTTAAAGTTTTAATAATATCGGATGCCTGTGCAAATTTTGAGAAGGCAATTTCCAAGGCAATGGCGTTTGAAGAAGACGATTTTTGCTCGCAGCGGAGATGGGCTTTTCGGGTTGGCCGGAGCGGGTCACGTGAATGGTGTGACGTCGCCGTGTCGTCTGCTGCATGATGCCGCTCAGGCAATTTTTTAAAAAAAGTCAGGTCCTTGCGGGGCACGAAACTTAGCGCAAATTATTCTAAAGTGTTCCATTATTATGTCAAAAACGATTGCGATTCCGTAGATTCCCACACTACTGAAGAAACAACGATTTTCTCACATTCTCCATGCATTTCTGACCGCAGTTGGAACCTCCGGGCGTTCGCCGCTAGTCGCCGAGAGGCGGCGTTCTAGATTGCGCTACTCTGCTCCGAAGGAGCTATATAGTGCTCTAGTTGTAGACACACTCAACTTGACAGGCTTTTTTTTTTGTTTTGTTTTGCTTTTATTTTGGGGCTAAGGAGCACTCCCTGCCTTCCCTCGGGCGTGCCTTTCTTTCCCTTTGCTTTTGCCATCCTCCGCTTTTTTTTTTCTTTTTCTACAACCGCTTTTTGTTGAGTATTTCCGTGCCCCTATGCTGGCTTGGCAGTCTGCCAGCCCGGCAAAGGGAGCTATGTGCTCTATGGGTGCAATCTGAGAAGGGCCGCCGTGCTTCATTAGCTATATTTCTATGGGAGTTCATGTAAGTTCGATACAAAAAGACAATGCTCCTATACAATTACACGTGATTTTCAAGGGCATGTTTGGACTGTTCGATATAAGCAATAATTCGAAATACCCGGGTGTGATATAACCGGGCTCGACTGTAATTGCATAGAGATTCCGAACACGACTATTATTGCTCTTTTTTGTGCATTATGTGTTGGCAAAAATGTAAAATCCTCGGGTCTTAGGAGACATAATACGGCAATTGTTGTTTCAAAATGCCACCTGATGGCACTCCCTAGTGTCCGCTCCAAGGTGCAGAAAGAGAGGCGCGTTACTAAATTGAATGAGATATTTAATAGGGAACTTCCACGAGTGTAATTTAGAGGTTTTTTTTTTAGGATGCTTAGAACTCGTAGAATGCACCATAAATAATAGATCTCAGAATCCGCTTGAGCGCCCTCGATATTGTTAGTTTTGGTTTCGAGGCAATCATCATAGTTGTAAGGGGGAAGAATAACAAAGACTGCGTTCCATCTCTGCGGGCGTTCTTGGTGGCCTCCCTTCTGGACCTGTCCGTTGGAATTGTCTGGGACATAGAGATGCAGGAAACTCTATCAGCTCATAGTTTGCCAGAGTCTCGACCTTGGGCTATGTCTTCCGAAAAAGGCAGGATTCCCCCTCGTGTTCTAGAGGTAGAGTCCCTGCTAAGGAAGCTATGGAACAAGTGCTGAGTGTTGCCTTACTTGGGTAAGGTTCTGACGACAGCGACTTGTTGTCACAGGAAGGCGGTCGGCCTCCCGAGTAACGATGTGAAAGAAGGGGACCGCTGACCGAGCGATAGGGCCACGCTCTGGTGGAGAGTCTTACCAATGAAGAGAGACGGAGGCGTGTGTCAGATATATAAATGACGTTTAATTTGAAAGGGATAGGGTAGATAATTAGGCGCTATATAATATGCAAAAATCACGTAGACATCAAACGGCAGATAGCACAGGTACACACAGTATAGCGGTTTACAATTTCATGCTCGGGGTTGCCTAGACAGTACTAGAAAAATACTAAGTTTAACAGAGTCCTAATGGTAAACTAAAGTAGGAGAATAAGTGAGTGCAAAGAAAAAGTCTCATCTGGCGTTGAGGTGCTGGCGTCTCCCTGCGCGGTCCGTCCGAGGTGGAGAAATTCCGGCGGGTGGCTTGGCACACCGTGGGCGCGGCTCACTGGCCCCGCACGCCCACTTTTTGCGGTCGCACACTCACTGGAGGCTTCGTCCGGTGCCTGGCGTGGGGCCGTCGACAGGGTCTCGTCGCGATCCGACCGTTCGCCTTAGAGTTCTCTCTCGCACTGTCAGTCCTGGCGACCCCGCGGTTCCCGCACTCTCTTTGTTCCCACGGTAGGTTGTTGCCCCCTCGGTCTGACCCCTGACCCTAAAGCAGGGTTCTTCTTAATACCAAGACCCGCCAGGCAATTCGAGCGTTGACGAAAAACATTCCAACAGCGGGCCGCCAGCTCGCCTCGTAAATCTGGGGCTGCAGAGACCTGTGTACCCCCCGAAACCACTCTAGGTTGTGTATACGAAGAAACACCGAACATGCGGTCGCTTCAACGAAGCGCTCCCTGCGTAACCTGACACGCGCCTGGCCGCGAGCTCATCCGCCGAAGGCGGTCGTTTACTTCCCTGGCCATTATTCTTCCGCAGACGTCATCACGACCCCCGTCGGTTTCTAGAACAGCCGGTTTCTGTGACACTTGTGTGCATGTTTGTTTTTGAGTTGGTGTGTGTTTCGTCAAATCTCTTCTGTGTTCAGCTTCATTATTTAACCTGCACGGTAGAACAGCAATTTACTTTTTGAATGTCTGGGAGTTCAATCTGCGTTATAATTCGGGGCGCGTTAGAATCGTGCCAACACGGAAGTATTTCGTATTTCTCCAACCGTCTTCCTGTAATCCATTGCGCAAGGCCTGTCCACGAGTTCTGTCTTTGAAGATGAAATGTAACTTGCGTTTTGATTGCCCGTGTGACTTTTGACTGAAGTGTTTTATTTGCGCCTTTCATTTCGCTATACTCGGCACGTAGACGTTGTCACGCCTAAAACTTGCGGCCGCGTCGCATTCACGGCTTACTCGTCTCTTGATTACATCACTTCGCCAACCAGCCCGACGACGCGCTATTTTACGCACCTTGGATGGACCGTCTCGGCCGAGCGTTTTTTCGCCCTTTCTTTTTTGCTCGCACATAATGGACAGAGTTTGCGCATTTGGAGACTTTGTCTGCGTCGGCCTCTTTCTTACGCGGGCGTGTTTGTCCACTGGGAGGCTGCCTTGTGCGGCACTGGAGAAGCGAATCGATGGAGGAGAGAGATGCGGGGGTCTGGGCTCGCAGGTATCCCAGCAGCCCCCGGCGTACCCGCGGCAGAACGGGGCCGACCAGCGGGGCCCCTACCCGAGCTTCCCGGCGGACCCGTACCCGTGCCCGCCGTTTGGGGTGGCCCCCCCTCCCTTCCTGGCGCCCCCCGAAGTGCCCCCGGCCCCCCCGGCTCCCCCCGTGGAGCCCCCCGAGAGGCAGGAGCCCCCCCCGAGGCAGGAGCCCCCCCCGAGGCAGGAGCCCCCCCCGAGGCCGGAGCCCCCCAGGGAGGGCCCCAGGCGTGCCTTTGGCCAGACGTACCGGGTGAGCCGGCCCAAGGGGGGCGAGGAAGTGCCCCGTGGGGAGGCGGGCTTCTTTGTCTGCCTGGACGACCAGCAGCCCCGCAAGCCCAAGCCCCGGCTGAGGCCTCGCATCGCGGCCCAGGACCCGGAGGCGCCCAGGGAGAACCCCCCCGACGGTCAGGGAACAACCTCTTTCCAAGATAGAAGGGGAGGCCTCTGAAAATAATGAAAAAAAAAAAAAAAATGAAAGTTCTTTAATGGATTTAGATGGAACACATATTTTACGATAAACTATTTCCGAGAAAAAAAAAAAACTTGAAAAAGGTTGGTTAAGCTTCGCTTAAGAGTGGAACGGGCAATGGCGAAACATGTGAACATATAAACTCCCGCTTGTTCCCAAGCCACGCGCGTGCCTTGCACGGCCCTGTCAGTAGCGCGTCTGGCTCGTGGCCGAAAGGTCGTGGGTTCGAATCCTGCCTAAAATTCTTCAGATTTTTCTTTAAGGCAAGTAAACTATGTTGAATATACCTGAGACTGGGGTAGAAAAGAACATAAAAGTCGAAGAAACAGAACGGGACAGGACGACGTCTCAAACTCAGCTACCAGGTTTATTCAGTCCTCCTCCTTATATAGTCCACAAACAGCCCACCACCAACACAAAGGGGCAACTCTAGCCAGTTCAACCGCCAAACCCTCCAGACAGTCACTACCAACACAAAGGGACAACCTCTAAACAGTCCAAACGCCAAACCCTGTAATTCCAAACTAGCGCTATGGACGGCCTTCATGCCGATTCACAAAGATAACTCAGCAATCTCCCCCAAAATATAACAAAAGGACCATTACCTCTTCCAAAGTAACAAGGATCCACAAAAAAAAAAAAAAAAAAAACAACCTTTTTTTACTTAAATTGTATTCCTTTCCTCCTCGACGAAAGGATGACACGCACTTAACCTAAAACGGTGTAAAGTTGAACAGTACAGCATTTCCCTCTGTCCACCCCACAAAAAAAAAAAAAAAAAATATATATATATATATACATATATATATATATATGTATTGTGTTGTATATTGTTGTATATTCAATGTATTGTATATTCAATAACGTGTTGTATATTCAATAACGTGGCTCTTGATTCTCGCAGATGATGATGATAGCGTGTCTCTAAATGCTCATAAACAAAGAATACTACATGTACACGGGGCGAGACAAACAGTGGGAGGATTTCTGGAGCACAAACGAGCACGTACCACGTGACACTAAGCGTCGTACCGCGTTCCACGCGGCGGCGTGTGTTTCCAGAACACCTCCGATTGGACACATTTCGTTTCTTGTGCATTAATAAGACAGGTAGGAAACGCCAGAAAGCTAAGGTGGAGTGTTGTAGTGGTTAGCACACCCGACCGGACATTGGGAGGCCCAGAGTTCAAATCCTGGCTCCGCCATTTTTTGGCTTTCGGCGGGTTCCTGAAAACTTGGATTCTTTAATTCATTGGATTAAGTACGGTTCATTCATCTGCACATATTCGTTTATATCCCCCTCGGAGACCACGTACGATGACTTGAAGTGCCCGTGTTGTATATTCAATAACGTGGCTCTTGATTCTCGCAGATGATGATGATACCGTGTCTCTAAATGCTCATAAACAAAGAATACTACATGTACACGGGGCGAGACAAACAGTGGGAGGATTTCTGGAGCACAAACGAGCACGTACCACGTGACACTAAGCGTCGTACCGCGTTCCACGCGGCGGCGTGTGTTTCCAGAACACCTCTGATTGGACACATTTCGTTTCTTGTGCATTAATAAGACAGGTAGGAAACGCCAGAAAGCTAAGGTGGAGTGTTGTAGTGGTTAGCACACCCGACCGGACATTGGGAGGCCCAGAGTTCAAATCCTGGCTCCGCCATTTTTTGGCTTTCGGCGGGTTCCTGAAAACTTGGATTCTTTAATTCATTGGATTAAGTACGGTTCATTCATCTGCACATATTCGTTTATATCCCCCTCGGAGACCACGTACGATGACGTGAAGTGCCCGTGTTGTATATTCAATAACGTGGCTCTTGATTCTCGCAGATGATGATGATAGCGTGTCTCTAAATGCTCATAAACAAAGAATACTACATGTACACGGGGCGAGACAAACAGTGGGAGGATTTCTGGAGCACAAACGAGCACGTACCACGTGACACTAAGCGTCGTACCGCGTTCCACGCGGCGGCGTGTGTTTCCAGAACACCTCCGATTGGACACATTTCGTTTCTTGTGCATTAATAAGACAGGTAGGAAACGCCAGAAAGCTAAGGTGGAGTGTTGTAGTGGTTAGCACACCCGACCGGACATTGGGAGGCCCAGAGTTCAAATCCTGGCTCCGCCATTTTTTGGCTTTCGGCGGGTTCCTGAAAACTTGGATTCTTTAATTCATTGGATTAAGTACGGTTCATTCATCTGCACATATTCGTTTATATCCCCCTCGGAGACCACGTACGATGACGTGAAGTGCCCGTGTTGTATATTCAATAACGTGGCTCTTGATTCTCGCAGATGATGATGATACCGTGTCTCTAAATGCTCATAAACAAAGAATACTACATGTACACGGGGCGAGACAAACAGTGGGAGGATTTCTGGAGCACAAACGAGCACGTACCACGTGACACTAAGCGTCGTACCGCGTTCCACGCGGCGGCGTGTGTTTCCAGAACACCTCCGATTGGACACATTTCGTTTCTTGTGCATTAATAAGACAGGTAGGAAACGCCAGAAAGCTAAGGTGGAGTGGTGTAGTGGTTAGCACACCCGACCGGACATTGGGAGGCCCAGAGTTCAAATCCTGGCTCCGCCATTTTTTGGCTTTCGGCGGGTTCCTGAAAACTTGGATTCTTTAATTCATTGGATTAAGTACGGTTCATTCATCTGCACATATTCGTTTATATCCCCCTCGGAGACCACGTACGATGACTTGAAGTGCCCGTGTTGTATATTCAATAACGTGGCTCTTGATTCTCGCAGATGATGATGATACCGTGTCTCTAAATGCTCATAAACAAAGAATACTACATGTACACGGGGCGAGACAAACACTGGGAGGATTTCTGGAGCACAAACGAGCACGTACCACGTGACACTAAGCGTCGTACCGCGTTCCACGCGGCGGCGTGTGTTTCCAGAACACCTCCGATTGGACACATTTCGTTTCTTGTGCATTAATAAGACAGGTAGGAAACGCCAGAAAGCTAAGGTGGAGTGGTGTAGTGGTTAGCACACCCGACCGGACATTGGGAGGCCCAGAGTTCAAATCCTGGCTCCGCCATTTTTTGGCTTTCGGCGGGTTCCTGAAAACTTGGATTCTTTAATTCATTGGATTAAGTACGGTTCATTCATCTGCACATATTCGTTTATATCCCCCTCGGAGACCACGTACGATGACTTGAAGTGCCCGTGTTGTATATTCAATAACGTGGCTCTTGATTCTCGCAGATGATGATGATACCGTGTCTCTAAATGCTCATAAACAAAGAATACTACATGTACACGGGGCGAGACAAACAGTGGGAGGATTTCTGGAGCACAAACGAGCACGTACCACGTGACACTAAGCGTCGTACCGCGTTCCACGCGGCGGCGTGTGTTTCCAGAACACCTCCGATTGGACACATTTCGTTTCTTGTGCATTAATAAGACAGGTAGGAAACGCCAGAAAGCTAAGGTGGAGTGGTGTAGTGGTTAGCACACCCGACCGGACATTGGGAGGCCCAGAGTTCAAATCCTGGCTCCGCCATTTTTTGGCTTTCGGCGGGTTCCTGAAAACTTGGATTCTTTAATTCATTGGATTAAGTACGGTTCATTCATCTGCACATATTCGTTTATATCCCCCTCGGAGACCACGTACGATGACTTGAAGTGCCCGTGTTGTATATTCAATAACGTGGCTCTTGATCCTCGCAGATGATGATGATACCGTGTCTCTAAATGCTCATAAACAAAGAATACTACATGTACACGGGGCGAGACAAACAGTGGGAGGATTTCTGGAGCACAAACGAGCACGTACCACGTGACACTAAGCGTCGTACCGCGTTCCACGCGGCGGCGTGTGTTTCCAGAACACCTCCGATTGGACACATTTCGTTTCTTGTGCATTAATAAGACAGGTAGGAAACGCCAGAAAGCTAAGGTGGAGTGGTGTAGTGGTTAGCACACCCGACCGGACATTGGGAGGCCCAGGGTTCAAATCCTGGCTCCGCCATTTTTTGGCTTTCGGCGGGTTCCTGAAAACTTGGATTCTTTAATTCATTGGATTAAGTACGGTTCATTCATCTGCACATATTCGTTTATATATATACATATATATATACACATAAATATAACTATATTTTTAAAAAACTTTTGGAATTTTCACCTAACTGTAGCGACGCCTGGCTTATGCAATTACCTAAAGACTTTATTCGCACCGTCTCCCTTACTAGCCTTATTGTATCATTCCTCTCCTTGTGAACGATTTCTGTCTCCGACCAAATAGCAGTGCAGTTGTTACATTCGTTGACATGTTTTGCGATTTCTGAGTTTGGTGCATTGTTCTTCACGTTTCTTTTGTGTTCACTTAATCTGTCGTTGATGCATCGTGATGTTTGTCCTACATACTTAAACCCGCATTCCAGTGGTATCTCATACACCACACCATTCTCGCAATCTACCGATTTTTCGCGATGGTTCTTTCTGCAATTGTTCGCACCTGTCTGAAATGGCGTCAATCTACTAAGTTTAAAATCTGAGCTGAAGACCGTGTCTACTCCAAACTTTTTCGCACAAGCCTTCAAGTTGTGCAAAATTTCATGAAAATAGGGGATCACGGCGAATCCAGTCCTTTTACCCTGTTCCTTTTCTCTCCTTCCTTTAATAACTATTTCTAACTGCCGTTTGATAAAACTGTCTTTATACCCTACATTGATCAACCTTTTGCATTGTCTTTTAACCGAATCCGTGATGAAATGAACACACGATCTGTCCAGCGCGTTTCTGACCAACGACTTTACAACCCCAGCTTTTACGGTCTTGGAATGACAGCTAATCCTTGGCAACACCGGTTTAGAACTTTCTTTTCCGTATTCCCAACATACCCCTTGATTTACATGTATACGTAAGTCCAGGAACTCTAGGACCCCTCTTTC